TACTACACAGTACTACATACTACAGTACTACACAGTACTACACAGTACTACACAGTACTACACAGTACTACACAGTACTACACAGTACTACACAGTACTACACAGTACTACACAGTACTACATACTACACAGTACTACACAGTACTACACACACAGTACTACAGTACACACAGTACTACACAGTACTACATACTACATACTACACAGTACTACACAGTACTACACAGTACTACACACTAGTACTACACAGTACTACAGTACTACACAGTACTACACAGTACACAGTACACAGTACTACATACTACACGTACTACAGTACTACACAGTACTACACACACAGTACTACATACACAGTACACACATACAGTACACACAGTACTACACAGTACTACACAGTACTACACAGTACTACACAGTACTACACAGTACTACACAGTACTACACAGTACTACACACAGTACTACACAGTACTACACAGTACTACACAGTACTACAGTACTACACATACTACACAGTACTACACAGTACTACAACTACACACAGTACTACACAGTACTACACTACACAGTACACACTACTACACAGTACATACTACACAGTACTACACAGTACTACATACTACACAGTACTACACAGTACTACATACTACACAGTACTACACAGTACTACATACTACACAGTACTACATACTACACAGTACTACACAGTACTACATACTACACAGTACTACACAGTACTACACAGTACTACACAGTACTGCACAGTACTACACAGTACTACACAGTACATACACAGTACACAGTACTACACAGTACTACATACTACACTACACAGTACTAATACAACAGTACTACATACTACACAGTACTACATACTACACAGTACTACACAGTACTACATACTATACAGTACTACATACTACATACTGCACAGTACTGCACAGTGCTACACAGTACTACACAGTACTGCACAGTACTGCGCAGTACTACACAGTACTGCACAGTACTGCACAGTGCTACACAGTACTGCACAGTGCTACACAGTACTGCACAGTACTGCACAGTACTGCACAGTACTACACAGTACTACACAGTACTACACAGTACTACACAGTACTACACAGTACTGCACAGTGCTACACAGTACTGCACAGTACTACACAGTACTGCACAGTACTGCACAGTGCTACACAGTACTACACAGTACTGCACAGTACTGCACAGTACTGCACAGTACTACACAGTACTGCACAGTACTGCACAGTACTGCACAGTACTGCACAGTACTACACAGTGCTACACAGTACTACACAGTACTGCACAGTACTGCACAGTGCTACACAGTACTACAGTACACAGTACACAGTACTACAGTACTACACAGTACTACACAGTACTACACAGTACTACACAGTACTGCACAGTACTACACACACAGTACTGCACAGTACTGCACAGTGCACAGTACACAGTACTGCACAGTACTACACAGTACTACAGTACTGCACAGTACTGCACAGTGCTACACAGTACTGCACAGTACTACACAGTACTACAGTGCTACACAGTACTACACAGTACTACACAGTACTACACAGTACTACACAGTATACAAATATAAAATTGTCACATAAAATCATGTAAAGTCAAGTAAAGTCACATAAAGTCACGTAAATATATATACATAAATATAAATATATATAAATAAATATAAATATATATACATAAATATAAATAAATATAAATATATATAAATATATATACATAAATATAAATAAATATAAATATATATACATAAATATAAATATATATAAAGTCGTGTGACGGCGTCTGAGTGTTTTTTTGTTCGTCTCGACTGAGCAGCTCCAACACGACGTCACTTCTCAACACTTCAGATGATTTATTATGATTATATAGAATCATGTATAATTATACATGATTCTATATGATTCTTTATGATTCTTTATGATTCTATATGATTCTATATTTGATTCTTTATGATTCTATATGATTCTTTATGATTCTATATGATGATTCTTATGATTCTTTATATGATTCTTTATGATTCTATATGATTCTATTGATTCTATGATTCTTTATGATTCTATATGATTCTTTTGATTCTTTATGATTCTATATGATTCTATATGATTCTTTGATGATTCTATATGATGATTCTTTATGATTCTTATATGATTCTATGATTTTATATGATTCTTTATGATTCTATATGATTCTATATGATTCTTTATGATTCTTTATGATTCTATATGATTCTATATGATTCTTTATGATTCTTTATGATTCTATATGATTCTATATGATTCTTTATGATTCTATATGATTCTTTATGATTCTTTATGATTCTATATGATTCTTTGATTCTTTATGATTCTATATGATTCTTTATGATTCTATATGATTCTATATGATTCTTTATGATTCTATATGATTCTATATGATTCTTTATGATTCTTTATGATTCTATATGATTTTATATGATTCTTTATGATTCTATATGATTTTATATGATTCTTTATGATTCTATATGATTTTATATGATTCTTTATGATTCTTTATTATTCTATATGATTCTATATGATTCTTTATGATTCTATATGATTTTATATGATTCTTTATGATTCTATATGATTCTATATGATTTTATATGATTCTTTATGATTCTATATGATTCTATATGATTTTATATGATTCTTTATTATTCTTTATGATTCTATATGATTCTATATGATTCTTTATTATTCCATATGATTTTATATGATTCTTTATGATTCTATATGATTCTTTATGATTCTTTATGATTTTATATGATTCTTTATGATTCTATATGATTCTTTATGATTTTATATGATTCTTTATGATTCTATATGATTTTATATGATTCTTTATGATTTTATATGATTCTTTATGATTCTATATGATTTTATATGATTCTTTATGATTCTATATGATTTTATATGATTCTTTATGATTCTTTATGATTCTATATGATTCTATATGATTCTATATGATTCTATATGATTTTATATGATTCTTTATGATTCTATATGATTTTATATGATTCTTTATGATTCTTTATGATTCTATATGATTCTTATATGATTTTTTATGATTCTATATGATTTTATATGATTCTTTATGATTCTATATGATTCTATATTATGATTCTTTATGATTCTATATGATTTTTATATGATTCTTTATTATTTTGATTCTTTATGATTCTATATGATTCTATATGATTCTATATGATTCTTATATGATTCTTATGATTCTTATATGATTCTTTATGATTCTTTATGATTCTATATGATTCTTTATGATGATTCTTTATGATTCTTTATTGATTCTTTATGATTCTATATGATTCTTTATGATTCTATATGATTTTTATATGATTCTTTATGATTCTATATGATTTTATATGATTTTATATGATTCTTTATGATTCTTATGATTCTTTATGATTCTATATGATTCTATATGATTTTATATGATTCTTTATGATTCTATATGATTTTATATGATTCTTTATGATTCTTTATGATTCTATATGATTTTATATGATTCTTTATGATTCTATATGATTTTATATGATTCTTTATGATTCTATATGATTCTTTATGATTCTTTATGATTCTATATGATTCTTATATGATTCTTTATGATTCTTTATGATTCTTTATGATTCTATATGATTTTATATGATTCTTTATGATTCTATATGATTTTATATGATTCTTTATGATTCTATATGATTTTATATGATTCTTTATGATTCTATATGATTCTTATATGATTCTTTATGATTCTTTATGATTCTATATGATTCTATATGATGATTTATATGATTCTTTATATGATTGATCTATATGATTTTATTATGATTCTTTATGATTCTTTATGATTCTATATGATTCTATATGATTCTTATATGATTCTTTATGATTCTATATGATTTTATATGATTCTTTATGATTCTATATGATTCTATATGATTCTATATGATTTTATATGATTCTTTATGATTCTATATGATTCTTTATGATTCTTTATGATTCTATATGATTTTATATGATTCTTTATGATTCCATATGATTCTTTATGATTCTATATGATTCTACTTTTGTTACTAGATCTAGTTGGATTATCTGTAATTCTCTCTAAGTTTGTGGATCTTTTTTAAAGCTTTGGGCAGGAGATGGAGACGGTGAAGGTTCTCCTCCTCAGAGCTCAGAGTTCTCCTCTGTTCCTCTGAGCATCTCGTTACTACAACATCACACCAGAAAATCTTCTGACTCCAGTAAAAATAAAAATATTATTATCCAAAAAAAAAATAATTAAACATTACAAACACAGAACACGGACGAAAAACATGAGAACATGAGACCAGTGTGAGAACATCAGACCAGTGTGAGAACATGAGACCAGTGTGAGAACATCAGACCAGTGTGAGAACATCAGACCAGTGTGAGAACATCAGACCAGTGTGAGAACATGAGACCAGTGTGAGAACATCAGACCAGCGTGAGAACATCAGACCAGTGTGAGAACATCAGACCAGTGTGAGAACATCAGACCAGCGTGAGAACATCAGACCAGTGTGAGAACATCAGACCAGTGTGAGAACATCAGACCAGTGTGAGAACATGAGACCAGTGTGAGAACATCAGACCAGTGTGAGAACATCAGACCAGTGTGAGAACATCAGACCAGTGTGAGAACATCAGACCAGTGTGAGAACATCAGACCAGTGTGAGAACATCAGACCAGTGTGAGAACATCAGACCAGTGTGAGAACATCAGACCAGTGTGAGAACATGAGACCAATGTGAGAACATGAGACCAGTGTGAGAACATCAGACCAGTGTGAGAACATGAGACCAGTGTGAGAACATGAGACCAGTGTGAGAACATCAGACCAGTGTGAGAACATCAGACCAGTGTGAGAACATGAGGAGAAGGAGGAGTTGGACTCAC